GGGCAGTGGAAGTTTGGATTCTCGGTGTGGGGGAAAGCCAACAGAAGTTTTGAAGCAGTGGAGCGACAGGGGTTTACTTATATTTTGCACATCTGCTACTGAGTGGAGAATTTTCTAGAGGGCAGAGAAGGAAAGCAGGTTTTGCAGCAGTGCAGGTGGAGACTTCCGGTTTGCTCAAACTCACGTGGTAGCGACGGAGATGGAGAGAGGAAGACAGATTTGGGACATACGTTGAAACCTGCTTATGTGGAGCTTGAAGGGAAAAGAAGCCAGGATGACTTCTGAGACTTCGCCGCAACTGTGTTTGTGGTGTTGCAGTTTTTTATAAAGAAGAACGAAAGAGTTCAAAGAGATAAGTGAATAAATAATGCCCTTATGAAGTCATTAAATACTTAGGTTTTGCATAGCATAGATGGTCAGTGCTGAGTATTTGAAAATAACTGTGTGAAGAATAGCAAAGTTTTACATAATCGGTTAGAACATGGGAAAACGCTTATTGTTAAATTGGAAAGAGATATAAAGAATTATTTTAGACCATGACTCATTTTAAAAAGGATACTTCCAAACCATTCCTAAAACTATATGCATAACCTTTGCACAGAAGCAACTCAGAGGTGAATATTTTATATTCTAATTCATCATTTTGCCACATTTACAATCAGAAGTCTTCATAATTTCTAATCTTAATTTTATAAATTAAAACCACTTCCTCTTTTTTGTGTGTGTAAAGGGGAAAATGAGTAATTTTTAAAAACCTCTTCTTAGAGTTGAAGTTAGTACTAAAGCTTTTATTTGAACTGACTTAAAACAATATTTGTAAACATTTGTATACAAACGTTTTGACCTTTCTTGAAGTAGGTCAATACTTAGGGACTCCATCATAGGCAAAAGTTGCTGTGGTAGGTATCTTGTAAAGAGCTTTTTTAATTCTGAGTAATTTAGTAACTGAAGACAGAATTTAATCATTTGACATAAAATTACTCAATCAGATTCTATTTTTTAGAAGACATGTAGGTACCAGCTTGACTTCCTCTTACTGAATCTTTTAAGAACTTGATAACTTGATTATTTTAGGTTAATGATTCAGTTACACATTTAACCCTTCAGAATTTCAAAAGCTGTACATATATCGAATTTATCGATTAATATCTGAAAATATGGTCATTGGACTTCAAATGGGCTTATCATATCTAAAGCATTTTGCACGGCAAATTAATATCACTCTGTGATTGAAATATAGTGACCTATTTCAAAGTAATATTTAATTCTCTTTTTTAAACTTATTAATTTTGGAGATTTGTTATTGGGATAAAAAATATTTTGTTGGACTCATAGTAAATCAGTATTGACAAACAAGTTCTCTCTTTTGGTCCCTCTGTCCCTCTTCCCCCTACCCTCCACCCCAACCCCACCCCATGGCAGATGGTGCGTGAACAGTACACCACAACCACAGAAGGCACCCACATAGAGAGGCCAGAGAACCAATGTGTCTACAAAATTGGCATTTATGGCTGGAGAAAGCGTTGCCTCTACTTATTTGTTCTTCTTTTACTCATCATTCTCCTTGTGAATTTTGGTCTTACAATTTGGATTCTTAAAGTGATGTGGTTTTCTCCAGTAAGTATTTCTTTTCCGTTTTTTTTT